CCTGGGACCAGATGCTTGTGACTTGAATCTGAAGTGAGGACAGTCTTGTGGGACTGAGCCCTTGAACCTGTGGAGTCTGAGGCGAACTCCAGGTAGTTAGGGTCGGAATTGAGTCAAATTCTAGGACTCCCAGCTGTTGTTGGAGAATCAGAAAGTTATTCGGGTGGAGGAAAACCCCATCACCATCCCACAGAGAGAAACTTATACTAAGAGTAAGCAAGTAAACCTCTACTTTCTTGGGTTGCAGAGGAAAAGATGAACGAAATGTAAGCATTTGTTTCATGCCCTAAGGGCTACAGACAAGTTGCTACCAGCTGTTCATTGTCCAGACGTGGAGTGGCCCTACTTCTAACCTAGAAGTTAGGATTTTCTTTTAGGCCTCTGAGAGGTCACATAAAAACTAATAAATGTGGCCAGGCACGGTGGCTCACACCTGTAATCCCAGCACTTTGGGATGCTGAGGCAGGCAAATCATGAGGTCAGAAGATCGAGACCATCCTGTCCAACATGTTGAAACCATGTCTCTACTTAAAATACAAAAATTAGCTGGGTGTGGTGGCACACGCTAATCCCAGCTACTCCAGAGGCTGAGGCAAGAGAATGGCTTGAACCCAGGAGGCTAAGATTACAGTGAGCCAAGATCACACCACTGCACACCAGCCTGGTGACAGAGTGAGACTCTCTCTCAAAACAAAAAAGCAAGCAAAAACAACAACAACAACAACAAAAAAACTAATAAATGTTAGAGACTCTTTCCCCAGAAATATTTCCACACACAAGAAAATATAAATATTAATATAAAACATCAGTATGTACCCAGATCCTCTGAGATCTTACAAACCTGGGTTTTTAAATTTTAGTAAGAGACAATGCCGAGGGAATATGTGTGAATAATCATTTCACATCACACAATGCCACTCCAATAATCTAGAGTATGAACTGGGATAGAAAAACGCTTGATGTAATAACTTACTTTCAAGGGAATGGGTGGAAAGATGTTATTTATTCATCACTGGTTCATTCAGACACTCTGAGTGCCTACCAGGTACCAGATAAAGTTCTTGTCTTGGATCACTGCTCTAAGAATTAAAATTTGTCATTCTTTCCCCACCCCTCACACCCAGCACTTGAGCCCTCTTATTACGACAGAATTCCACACTGTTGATGAAAAGCCTCAAACTCTGTAAAATATTTGGAGAGATTTATTCTGAGTCAAATATAAGTGACCACGGCCCATGACACAGCTCTCGGGAGGTCCTGAGAACATGTGCTCAAGGTGGTTGGGGTGCAGGTTGGTTTTACACATTTTAGGAAGATATGAGACATCAATCAAATACATTTAAGATGTACATTGGTTTGGTCCAGAAAGGCAGGACAACTTGAAGCAAGCAGGGGTTGGGGGTTAGTGCTTCTGGCTTATAGGTAGATTTAAACATGTTCTGATTGGCAATAGAAAGGAATGTCTGGGTTATGGTAAGAGGTTGTGGAGACCAAAATTTTATCATGCAGATGAAGCCTCCAGGTGGCAGGCTTCAGAGAGAACAGATTGGAAATGTTTCTGATCAGACTTAAGGTCCCTGCTGATGGTAAATGCTGGTCAGCTTTTCCTGAATTCCAAAAGGGAAGAGGGTATAATGAGGCATGTTCAACACCTGCTTCTCATGGTGGCCCGAGCCAGTCTTCCAGGTGAACTGTTGAGTGTCCTGGCTGAGGGTGTCCATTAAGATGGTTGGGAGGGGTGTCTTTGAAGTTTATTTTTGGTTTACAACATGTAAAGTGTGTGTGTGTGTGTGTGTGTGTGTGTGGTGGAGTTTCACTCTTATTGCCCAGGCTGGAGTGCAATGGCATGATCTCAGCTCACTGGAATCTCGGCCTCCCAGGCTGAAGTGATTCTTCTGCCTCACCCTCCTGAGTAACTTGGATTACAGGCATGCACCACCATGCCTGGCTAATTTTTTATTAGTAGTAGAGATGAGGTTTCACTATGTTGGCCAGGCTGGTCTCAAAATCCTGACTTCAGGTGATCCACCTGCCTTGGCCTCCCAAAGTACTGGAACTACGGGCATGAGCCACTGTGCCTGGCCTACAACATGAAAAGTTTTGAGAAGAGACATAAACCACCTCCCTCCCTAGAAGAGCAAAACCCTGCAGTCACCCCTGCAGTTGATCATGGAGTCTTAGGCTCTACCAGTCAGATGACCACCTGCTGAAGCGGTCTCATTGTCTCGGGTAAATACTCAGGGTTCATGGTCTTGGGCCAAGAAGATGAAGGACACCTACACATGAGGAGTGAGTTTAGGAGCAGAGATTTAATAGGCAAAAGAAAGACAATGGAGAACACCTCTGCCTCTTGTGAGAGAGAGGAGCACCTGAAAGGGAATTCTGGCTTGCAATGGGAGTGCATCAGGTTTTATAGCAGGCTTGAGGAAATGGTGTCTGACTTATGTAGAACCCACAGGTTGGTTGGACCAGGTGTGACATTTACATAGTGCCTGGGAAAGGTTGTTCATCCCACCCGAATCCTATTATGTAAATAGGCTTTCCACTAGGGGGGTACCATGTTGTCTTCTCCTTATTGTACACGTGGCTGGTGAAGAGAGGAGAAGATGGAGCCACCATTGTGAACATGCCTAGTCCCAGGTGCCCTTTCCCTATTGGCACAGCTGCCTCATTCACCCATGAGACCTCCCAGCTGGCTTGTCTGTGTCTGAAGCTCGATTTTACAGGCTGCTCTTTGTTAGAAAAGAAAATGATTTGGGGCTGCTTTTAATTAAAAGAAAACCTTACTGAGAACTTCCATACCCTCGCTCTCTGCCTAAATAATTTCTTCTTAACTCCTATGTACTACCAGATTATGAGCCAGAATGAGGTGACACAGAGAGGCTGGGACTGTGTAGAATGCATTTTATTAAAGGTGGCTGAGTGGCAGTGGTGATGTCCAGTTTCCAGGTGCAGCAGTGACATCTGTCCCAGCCTCAGGGTGTAGTGTCCATCACCAGGGTGTCAGAGGTGTGAGCAGTGGCATCTGTGCTCAGCAGCAGGGGCAATTGTTCCTAGGAGGGACTGGATCCAGGGTGGGCTGTGGATTCTCTCCCTAAATGTGTGGTTTCCATCCTGGTTCTGTGGCCTTCCCCACAATAAAATTAGCCCCCAGTACCAGATATACTACTTTATGTGTACCTTAGAGAATTTTGGTTTCCATAGTTTGCTCCAAGAAGTGAGTGAGAAATCAGCGTGTGGAGCAGTGTCAGAGCAGCATTCAGAGGTGTTCTTTGTGCAAGAGCCACATCCTGAATTGTCTACCTGGTCTCTACCCCATGGTGGAGAGATCAACAGGGAATATCACATCTCATAATTGATGATGTACATCTTGCCTTTTCTTGCTGTGAGAAAAATCGTCTTTTAGTCAAGGTTTGAAAACCCACCCAATCCACCCACCCTGGGCACTCTCTGATCTCTGAGCTCAGTGGTTCCCAGTCAAAAGGATTGCTGACAGGGGCTTAGAAAATCCTCAGGCCACCCTCTAGAACTGATGTCCCACAGTACTATGCACAAGACTGAGGAATCATTTACATAACAAGCCCTACAGGCTAGGCTGATGCACACACATATGGGATCCTGGTGTTCTTGCTACTCCAAGTGTGATGTGGAGACCAGCAGCAGGAGCTCTGGCCTTGTCGTTAATCCAGAATCTCTTGCTTGACTCCAGGCTTCCTAGATCTCAGCACCATGTCCAGGTGATTCCTGTGCACACGGGAAGGTCCTTGTCTAAGTGTCCTCTAGATGTGGGGTCAGAACTGTGCAGTCTGCTCTGCATGTGGTCTGATCAGATCCCTTAGACCCGGAGGTCCAGGTTTCAGTCCCTGCGCTCATTCTTTTCCATAATCACTCCGTTGGTGCCCTCATCCATGCTTAAGGTTTTAAGTATTGTTTATATGGTGTGACTTCCTAAATCTACTTCTCCAGCCCAGTCCTTTCCCCTAAACTCTGGAATTGTCTGTCCAACTTCCACCCCAGCTCCCTCACCTACATTCCTAGTAGACATCTCCTCCACTGAGTGCCTGGGAGGCCCCCTCCTCAGTATTCTCCTGCCAGAGTCTCCCCATCTTCGCTGATAGCAGCTCCGCCCTTCTACTCACTCATTTACAACTGTGGGTGTCCTTGATTCTTCCTTCTCACACCACAGATACAATCCATTGGCAAATGCTGTGAGTCCATCTTAAAATGCATCCAGAATCCCCTCACGTCCCACTATGTCCCCTGCTCACACCCCAGTCAAGGTAACAACATCTCCAGCCTGGAATACTGCACTTGCTTCCCACTATTTTCCCCTCTGCCTCCCTCATCCCTAGCCTCTCAGTTCTGTTCTCAGCATTAGCAATCAGTGACATCCTTTTAAAAGAGAAGTCATATCATGTCCTTCTTCTGCTGAAAACGGTCCTGTAACTCCCATGTCACTCAGAGCAAGGGTCCAGACTGTGGCCCCAATTTTACAAACAAATATGAATCTAAATTGGCCTCTGCTTTAGATTCATGAGTTGGGATTGGAGTCAGCACCAAGATCACTAGAACCAGGGCAGGGAGAGAGGGCAGGAGAGCAGAGCAGAAGAGGAGCCCTAGAAGGAGGCCAGGAGCTGAATGGGTCTGAAAATTTGTCTCAGAAACACAGAGACTCCTGTGTGCAGGGGCCACCCTTGGTGATATAAGAACCTCTGTGGTCACAGCTTTCAATGGACAAATTTCCACTGACAGGACAAGGACAGTGGAGCAGTGAAGCTGACCCAGCTGAGGACTGACCACATAAAGCCCATGATGGACTCAACAGCAACTGGGCACAGGCCCCGTCCACACTTGGCTCCTCACAGCCTTCTCCATCCCCATCTGCAACAGGCTCAGCACAGGGAACATGCAGATTCTGGAAGGTTCTCAGGTCCTTATTTCCTCTCTCAAATTTTAGGAATTGACTTATTAATCAATCCATCAACCTTTCATGGCAAATATTTGAGAAAACACATTTATTTTCAGATTCTTATTTTCAGTAAGAAAGTAAGAGGTTGTGGCTCAGTGCACCATGAAGCTGAGACAGATTGAGATGCTCAGCCCCACCTCTCTGGAACAGGAAAGGTGACTGGGGAGGGAACACAGGTCATCGTGGACACAGGGGTCACGGTGGACACAGGGGTGGGCTGTCTCTCCACCTACTCACATTATGCTAACGGACACAGACACATTCAGATGCCTTTGCAGAAAGAGATGCCAGAGGCTCTTGAAGTCACAAAGGGGAGGCGTGAAGAAATCCCACATCTCAGTCCCACACAAGGCAGCTGTCTCAGACTACAGAAAACAATACTCATGAACAAATTCAGGTCAGTCATGGTAAGTGATGACACTCTGAATAGCCCACCACACACTCAAAACGTCCCAATCAAAGAATCCCCATAACCCAGGCTTTTCCCTTCTGCCCCAATCCCTGCCTACTTCAGGCCCCCCAGGGTCTCACCTTTACAAGCCATGAGAGACACATCAGAGCCCTGGGCACTGTTGCTGCCTGGGGTAGAACAAAAACAGGACCTGGTCAGAGCCCACAGGAGATGTGGGCCAGGAGGGATTATGGGGTCGGTGAGCTCCCCACACTCCTGCCCCCACCACTTACCCGCAGCCTGAGAGTAGCTCCCTCCTTTTCCACCTGTGGGAAGAAAACTTCCTGTGAGGAGACAGGGAGGAGGCAGGGCCATGAGATTTTAGAGGAACCTCCTAGTCTTGGACCCAACAGAAGTTTCCAGAACTATGACTACAGACCCAGGAAGGATCAGGAAACATGAGGAAAGCAGGTGTAGGTCCTGGACCAACTGCCCTCCTAAGTTCTGTCCTTAGCAGGGACCTTCTCCTGACTTGTGACTGCCGGAATCAGGACCCTAACACCACAATCATCACTGTGATACACCTGTCCTTCATTGTCATATCTGCTTCACAAAAGAGTAAGTGCTGGCACACAGGGCCCCAGGCTGTGTGCACATGGTCCATGTGTGGATGGTGCTTCCCAGTAATGAGGCAGGACACACTTCTACCTGGGGCTTGAAATCTCCAGTGGGACGAGAAAACCCAGACCCCACCCCTCACCCCTTCCCTACCTGAGCTCTTCCTCCTCGGCATCACAGCAATGACCACAGCTCCAATGACCACAGCTCCTAGGACAGCCAGGCCAACAACAATGCCCATGATAGGGATAGTGAGCTGGGAAGACGGCTCTGGGAAAGGAGGGGAAAGTGAGGGGCCCTGACCCTGCTGAAGGCTCCAGAAAGGCTCCTGCTTTCCCTGAGAAGAAACATGACCCCTCATCCCTCTCCTTACCCATCCCCCTCCTTACCCCATCTCAGGCTGAGGGGCTCCAGCAGCCCCTCGTGCTGCACATGGCATGTGTATCTCTGCTCTTCTCCAGAAGGCACCACCACAGCCGCCCACTTCGGGAAGGTTCCATCCCCTGCTGGCCTGGTCTCCACAAGCTCCGTGTCCTGAGTTTGGTCCTCCCCATCCCGCTGCCAGGTCAGTGTGATCTCCGCAGGGTAGAAGCCCAGGGCTCAGCACCTCAGGGTGGCCTCATGGTCAGAGACAGGGTGGTGGGTCACGTGTGTCTTTGGGGGATCTGACAGGAAGAGTCAGAAAATTCAAGCACTTTGTATCTCTCATGGAACACCCCAGCAGCACCCATGTGACCATCTGAGAATGGACAGGACATCTGTGGTGGGGAAGGGAGCACAGAACCCAGACACCAGCCTGCACACAGGCACCTGGGATAATCTATTCTGTGGAAAGTTCTAGTCTCTGAGGGAGGAACTGCGACTTCTGGTTCTGACCTGAGTGGAGGCCAAGGGACTCAGAAAAGCTGGAATCAGACCTTCAAACCCATTTGAGTGTGAGGCAGAGAACAAGGCCTGAGAGAAAAAGTCAAGGTGCCTAAGGCGGCTGCAGGGGTCAAAGGGGACTCCTGATCAGTATTCCAGGGACTGTCTTCCTCTCCATTTCCTCAGAGAAGTCATCCTTTAATTGTCCTAGAGAGCAGAGGGGCCCTCAGAGGAAACTCAGGAAAACTCATGCCATTCTTTATTCAAGGGAGGACGATTATTCTAGCGCTGATCCCATTTTCCTCTCCTCCTAGTGGGAGGCCATCCCGGGAGATCTACAGGAGATGGGGAAGTCTCCTCACTGCCCATGGTACCCGCCCGCTGCAGCGTCTCCTTCCCGTTCTGCAGGTTTCTCAGGAGCCACTTCACGCAGGTGCCCTCCAGGTAGGCTGTCATCCTCTCAGCCTCATTGGCCGCCTCCAGCTTGTTCTTGATGATCTGAGCCGCCCTGTCCGCGGCGGTCCAGGAGCGCAGGTCCTCGTTCAGGGCGATGTAATCCTTGCCATCGTAGGCGTCCTGCCGGTACCCACGGAGGAGGCGCCCCTCGGGCCCCACGTCGCAGCCGTACATTATCTGGACTGTGTGAGACTCTGGCCCCGCCCCCTCTATCAGCCCCGCCCACCGAGCCCCGCCCCCTCCCCGACCTACCCGCTGGGATTTTGGCCTAAACTGAAAATGAAACTCTGTAAAGGCGCCTGGGGCTCTCCCGGGTCTAGGGTCTGGGCGGGTCCCGCAGCCTCGGGGTGGACCAAGGACCCGGACTCTCGGAGAGACCCAGGCGGTGCTTGCAGAATGGGGAGGGGTCGTGACCTGCGCCTCGGGCCGGGGTCACTCACCGGCCCCGCTCTGGTTGTAGCAGCCGCGCAGGGTCCGCAGGTTCACACGGAAAGCCTGTGCGTTGGCCTTGGAGATCCGTGTATTCCGGTCCCAGTACTCCGGACCCTCCTTCTTCACCCACAGCTCCCGCGGCTCCATCCTGGATTCACTGCGTAGCTGTCGAACCGCACGAACTGCGTGTCGTCCACGTAGCCGACTTCGATGTACCGGGGCTCCCCGCGGCCGGGCCGCGACACGGCGGTGTGAAAATACCTCAAGGAGTGGGAGCCTGGGGGCGAGGAGGGGCTGAGACCCGCCCGACCCTCCTCCCGGCGCAGCTTCCCGGGTCCTGCGTCCACGCCGGGCGGACCCCTCGCTCCTCCCTGCAGAGGTCTTTTCCCTCCCGAAGCCGCACTCACCCGCCCGGGTCTGGATCAGGGCCAGGGCCCCCGAGAGCAGCAGGAGGAGGGTTCGGGGCGCCATTACCGTCATCCTCGGCATCTGGTTGAATCTGAGTCCAGGCGGGTGACTGGGGACTTTAGAACCGAGACTGCGACGACGCTGATTGGCTTCTCTAGAAACCCGACACTCAATGTCGGGGAACTGGGGACCGGTCACGTGTATGGAGGAGGAAGGACCCGACACAGGTTGGGAGAAGAAGTGAAACTCAGGGGAGTGGGGAATCCCCAACGCTGCTCCTCCCCAACGCAGACAAGGCCCTCCGTGCTGGTGCCGGAGACCGTGAGAACCACGCCTGGGACCTGGGACTTTGTCCCGATCCGTATCTCCTACACCAAGCCTCTTTGTCACACTGTCTGCCAGAGTCTTGGCCGAGGATCTGTCTGTGGAAACCAGGGAGAGATGCCCCAGGCTGCGCCCAGCCCCTTCCCCTTCACCTTTCGTCCTGGAATCCCCGTCCCTGAACTGGACTCCCCGCCTCCCACTCCTTACCTCTCCCCTTGGACTTTTGTGCAAAGAAACTCACCACGGGAAACTTGATGCCAGAGAGTGAGCTCGCCCTGGAATAGAGATGTAGAGACAGGGGTTTTCTCTCTACACCTGGTGAAGTTTTGTCTGAAGGCACCAGATAGAGACTCTCATAGAGACCAGTTTCCTTTTTATTAATACAGTAGGTAGCACAATATTGTAATCCCTGAATGAGTAGGATTCTAATCTGTCAAAGACCTGCGTCAAAACAGCATCACAATTAAACTCTCAAAGCTCCTAAGTTTTACTTTCCCAGATTATGGATCTGTGACTCTGGTTGTTCCATTTAAAATTATCTTCATTCCCTTGCTTGAGTTTCCCTGTGTGAGTCCAGAATATCTCCTGAATACAAAGAAGCAGGGTTTGTTACTGTATATGGCAACCGGGAGCCTGTAGTCACCACCTCAAAGTTGCAAGTGCTCTTCACCAGCACTCAAGCACTGCCTGCTTTCGTGAGCTATGCACATCTAAGCAGTGTGCATATTTTATTCGGACACTTGGTATTTCTGTAACTTTTTTTTTTTTAAATTATGAGGAAGCCGGGGCCGGGCGCGGTGGCTCACGCCTGTATTCCCAGCACTTTGATCACGAGGTCAAGAGATTGAGACCATCCTGACCAACATGGTGAAACTCCGTCTCTACTAAAAATACAAATAATTAGCTGGGCATGGTGGCGCGTGCCTGTAATCCCAGCTACTCAGGAGGCTGAGGCAGGAGAATTGCCTGAACCCAGGAGGCGGAGGTTGCGGTGAGCCGAGATCGCGCCATTGCACTACAGCCTGGGTAACAAGAGCGAAACTCCGTCTCAAAAAAAAAAAAAAAAAAAAAAAATTATGAGGAAGCCATTAGTTTTTAGGCAGTCCCACACTAAATGCCAAGTGCTCTTCCACAGCTTTAAAATTCTATCCCCTGCTCCTTTTCCTCACCTCCTACTTCTCCATCCCTTCTCTCTGCCCCTGTCATCCCTCACACCCTCCCCTCCCCTTAGTCACTGCCACCTTGTCAGTCCTGAATTGTGGCACTAACACTGTCCCTCACTTCCCGCTTATGTCTGTTCTCCACGGTGCTCAGCAGTCCTGCTAATGTGACTCAGTCATGTCATTTCTTCACTTAAATGGTTGGATTGTGGTCTACCATTTTGCTACATGTTTTCTATTTGTCTCACATCTTTTTTTGTTTCTGTTCCTCCTCTGGTACTTTCTTATGTGTTAAGGAAACATTTTTTAGTTTATGGTTTTAATTCTGCTAGTAGCTTTTAGCTATATTTCTTTACACTAATTTTTTATTGTTCTAAGAATGGAAACTCGAGTCCTTGACTTTTCATAGTGAAGTTCAGGTAATATTAAAGTGCATCCAGCAAAATAAAGGACACTTCAAATGGTATAGTGTCATTTTACCTATCATTATGCTATTGTACATAGTACGTCAATATACATTATAAACTCAGTGATACAGTGTAATAGTTTTTGTTTTAGAAAAGCAGCCATATGCCGTCAGAAAATGAAGAAAATGAGTGTGTATGTGATATGTGTGTGTGCATCATTTCTGTTGTTAATTGTTCCTTTCTGTGTAACTGGGTCACCAACTAGTTTCATTTCCCTCAGCCCGAAGAACTTCCTTTAAAATTACATGTAGTGCAGGACCCCTAGGAAATGAAATAAATGGTTTTGATGATCTAAAAATACCTTTATTTTTGCCTTCTTACCCCCACCCGCCTCTTTTTTTTTTTTTTTTTTTTTTTTTTTTTGCTTTTCAGGACATTTACATATAATAAAATTTACCAGTTTTATTTGATTTTTGGTGAATATTGGTAATTATTTGTAGTCCTATAACTACCACACTGGTCAGTAGAGAAACACCACATGCAAAGAACCCCCTGCTAGGCTCCTCCACTGCTTTAGAGTCCTTTCCTCTGCCCTTTTTCCTCACCTCCTGCTTTCCCAGCCCTTCTCTCTGCCCCCTCATCCCTCACACCCTCCTCTCCCTTCAGTTTCCACTGCCCAGTAACTCTCAAATTGTGTCACTGTAGAGAACAGTTTCTTTTCCCTAAAAACTTTCTTTCTGTCCCTTTGTATTCAATCCTTCCCACCCTCACCCCTTCCCTTCACTCAACCACTGCTCTGCTTTCTGTCACTGCAGTAGTGTAATTTCTAGAATTTCATGGACATGCGATCATATGTGATGCAGTCCTTTGGTCTCTCACTCAGCATAACAATGTTTGAGATGATGCCATTCATTCATTTTTGTTGCTGAGCAGCTGCTGAGTATTGCTGGAATCCCAGTTTGTTCACTGGTTTCTCTATTCTCCAGTTGATAGACATGTGGATTACTCCGATTAGGGTGTGTTATGAATGAAGCCACTATAAATAACTGCTCACAAGTGTGGTTTACATTTTTATTTCTTTTGGATAAATACATATTTGTGGAATTGCTGGGTCATGTGGTAACGGATGGGTAGCTGTATAAGAAATTGTCAAACCGCTTTACAAATTGGCTGCCACATTTTTTGCATTTCTACCAGCAATATCAGACATTCCTGTTTTTTTCATATTTTTGCCAGTATTTAGACTTATCATATGTCTTTTTAACTTACCTATTCTAGGTGATGTGTGGTGGTTTCTCACTGTGGTTTTAACTTGCACTTCTCTGATGACTGGTATGGTTTGCTATCTTCTCAGGTTCATCTAGCTGACTTGACTTACTACATATATTTTATGAACTATTTAGCAAATTCAATGATTAATTTTAGAAACTTTTCAGAATTCCCTAGTGTTTCCTACCTATGCAATGAAGTAGGTGACAAAGAAAGACTTTTATTTATTTATTTCCTATCTATTAATCTTTTTTCTTTTAAAATGATTTTTATCTGGTAGAGATGAGGTCTCACTACCAGGCTTGTCTCAAACTCCTGAACTCAAGTGATCCACCCAGCTCATTCTCCCAAAATGCAGGGATTACAGGCAGGAGCCATCATACCTGGTCCTTCTATTGGTCTTTTATTTCATTTTCTTGCCATGTTGCACTGGTTAAGATGTCTGTTACGTCTCACAAGAATGATGAGGGGTCACATCTTCATTTACAAGGAACTTAAAAAAATTTACAAGAAAAAGAAAACAGTCCCATCAAAAAGTGGGCAAAGAATATGAACAGACACTTCTCAGAAGAAAACATTTACATGGCCAGAAAACATATGAAAAAAGATCAATATCACTGATGATTAGAGAAATGCAAATCAAAACTACAATAAGATACCATCTCTCTCCAGTCAGGTTAGCAGTTGTGAGGAGACAATAGATGTTAGCAAGGCTGTGGAGAAATGGGAACACTTTTACACTGTTGGTGGGAATGTAAACTGGTTCAACCATTGTGGAGGACAGTGTGGCCATTCCTCAAAGAGCTAGAACCAGAAATACTATTTGTCCTAGCCATCCCATTACTGGGTATATACCCAAGTGGCTAGAAATCATATTACTATAAAGACATATGGACATGTATGTTTATTGCAGCACTGTTTACAATAGCAAAGACATGGCACCAATCCAAATTACTGCCAGTGATAGATTGGACAAAGAAAATACTGTACATATGCACCATGGAATACTACACAGCCATAAAATGGACTAAATTCATGTTCTTTGAAGGGACATGGATGAAGCTGGAAGCCATCATCTTCAGCAAACTAACACGAAAACAGAAAGCCAAACACTGCATGTTCTCCCTCCTAAGTGGGAGTTGAACGATGAGAACACATGGACACAGGTAGGGGAACGACACACACCGGGGCCTGTTGGGGAGTAGGGGGCAGGGTGAGGGAACTTAGAGGACAGGTCAATGGATGCAGGAAACTGCCGTAGCAGACTATCCGTATGTAACAAACCTGCACTTTCTCAACGTGTATCCTGGAACTTAAAGTAAAATAAAATAAATTAAATAAAAAAAGGAAGTGCCTGACTTACATGTTCCCATATATTCACTGCAGCACTATTCGCAATACCAAAGACCTGGAGTCAATGGATGGACTTGGAGGCCATTGTCCTTAGCAAACTAATGCAGAAACAGAAAACCAAATACCACATGTTCTCACTTATAGGTGGGAGCTAAATGATGAGAAAACCTGGACTCATAGAGGGGAACAACACACACTGGGGTGTGCTTGAGGGTGGAGGGTGGGAGGAGGGAGAGGATGAGGAAAAGAGCTAATGGGTACTAAGGCCCAATACTTGGGTGGGTACTAATGGGAACAGAAATAATCTGTACAACAAAACCCCATGACACAAGTTTACCTATATAACAAACCTGCACATGTACCCCTTAACTAAAAATAAAAGTTAAATTAAAAAAAAAAAAAAGAAAGTGTATGTCTGGAAAGGGCATATGGCTGGTTCTGTGTTTTTTTTTTTAAAGCAAGTCACATAATCTTTGCCCTTCATTGGGTGTTGATTCCTGTAGGTTTTTGTCATTATTGATGTCATAGGAGCTTTGTGTCTTGTGGCAGTATCGTAGCCAATGAGGTTCATCCGAGGCAGGACTATTGCTAATTGAAAACTTTTCCTAATACCTGCCATAACGACTTGAAATATAGTCAGTGTTGGAAATTTTTGGCAGTTTCTACAGGGACTGAATAAAAAAAAATTATGATATGTTTTTAGGAAAATAACCACGTTATTTTCCCAGTTTTAGTGTCTCTGTTCCTCTTGTGCTGGCCAATGTCTTATTAAAAACCATAGAAACAAACAAGCAAACAAAAAGTAGAATAACATCTTTAAAGCACAGGAAGAAAATAAGGTCAACTAAGAATTCTATATCCAGCCCAGATATTCCTCAAGGACAGGCAAAATGAGATATTTCAGGTAAAAGAAAATTCAGATAATTTGTCACCAGCAGAGCTGCACAGTATCAATTGGTAAAGAAAATTCTTCAAGGTAGAAGTGAATGCTACCAGGTGGAGAATGAGATGATCAGAAAAGAGGAAGATGATCAGACATGGTAAATACTGGGCTCAGTGCAAAAGGCTATCTTGCTCCCCTCTTTTACTCTCACGTTTTATACATAGATCTGTTTAAAGATAAGAAAAAAGATTTTTCTTGTGGGACTTATCGCCTATATAGATATATTACATATAATGTCTAAACCATAAAAGATGTACATTTTATAGAGGGTAAATGGTTGCAAGATTTCTATATTTACGGAT